TGGACGGCTAGCGCAGATAGCCCTCGTGTAGCTTTGCGCGAAATTCCAAAAACAACACAACAATAATATTCTGCAAAATGGCGCACAAAATTAGAATTTTCTGCCAATCGTTCTGAAGTATCTGTCTACAAAGTATGAGTAAGTTTGAATAAATCTGCAACAAAAATCCACTCATTGTCAATCAATGGCACTAAGTCATTTTAATCACATTATGTTATTAATATTTAAATCATCCCATAAAATTCGCAATATATTTGTTTCAATTCACTGCTTTTCTTTCACCAACAGTGCTAATGCCCCCACTTTATCTAATCGCGCATTTTCACGTACACCCTCTCAAACTACTTCAACGGGTCACGCACATGCAAACGAGATGGGAAGTAGAGTAGTCTGAATGAGGAATTGGAAATCATTTGTCGCATAACGTTTGGTTAACTTGTTTTGATTGTATTTTGCATTTGGTACTTAAGAAGAGTGAACAGGTTCCATCTCGGCTGACACTGTGACAGAGACAGGAATTGACGTGTTATGGTAATGTAAAGAATAACCGTTATTTATAGATGTTTTGTAAGCAAATTAATGTTTTCGTTTATTCTAATTACAAATACAATAATTTTAATTCTATCATTTTTTTTCAAAAACAAAAATTACTGCTGAAACTTTTTTAAATGATACTTGCTTTTTCTTTACTTTAATTAAACAGGAATATTCTCTGTTTCCCAATCAAAGATGAGAAAGGTTTGTGATTTTTACATACTTTAACAGTTTGAGATATAGGTATTCAAAGTTAGAATATTTGACCATAACTAAATAACTCTTTCTAAGATGACTTCCGAGATAGCAAATTTATTGAATTGACTAAAATTAAATTGGGGGGTGGGGGGTATATCTTTGGAATTCTTTTTTCTTTTTTTTCTGGCAAATTTATGCAAGGGATTAAACTTTAAACTTCTATATTTTATATCTTAAAAAAATATTCATAATAGTAGCCATATAAAAATTTAAATATTTTCTTTCTTCTCCAGATAAATCAATCAATTGTATTTCATTATATGAAGAATTGAAGAACGTAGGAGTTTCTGATTATCCTACAAATTCGGTTGTTCGTGATTTTTAATTAATATCGTCCAAGAGTTACCGGGTTTTGTTTTTGTTTTCTTAATAGCTTTAGGCGATCTACTTTTGTAGAAGTCACGCAATCAACAGATTTCTGGTTTTATAATATATTCAGAGGTGTAGGAAGCAAACTAAAAATGGAGGGGGGAGGCGATGTATATTTGGCCGAGCAAAGGGAGGGAATACGTGCCACAGGCGCACCCATTACGGTCAGGGTCTAGTGCTCGCTTAGGATCCTGTAAGTTCTTAAGTTCTGGGTTAAATTTTATGTATTATCCTGCTTTTTCTGAGAGTAAGTTTCCTAATTTGGATACATTTTTACTGGGACAAATTGAAAAGTGGGGGTGAACTTCCCTCTTCCTATGCCACTCAAAGTTGTGAGCAGTATAGAACATATAGAAACATTTGCTTTAACATAAAATTGGGAATAAATAAAAATAAACATTCTAAAAATGAATTCAAACATTATGGTTCTTTTTTTTTTCTTGGTGTAAGTTGTCATTTTACATTGTTATATGCTAATAGCTTAATTCTTGCTTTGTAAAAACTTGTATTTCTTAAATGTGGATAATTTTTACAGTATAGGACAGAATAGTCGCATGAATATTTGTTAATAATAAATTATTATTATTATTATTAATATGTTAAAAATGAAATTTTCTAGTAGTTTTTGTTTCAAGTTTTGTACACACAAATTGCTGTATATTATTTAAGTACGATGTTTTCGATATGATTACTTAGCTTTTTTATTTTATTAATGTTTGCTGCAGGAGTTATTGGTGTAGCTGAACTGTGTAATAAAGTGAATAGGAGGTATTTCTCTTTGTTCGACGAAGAAATCGCTAAAGCCTTTTCTATATATTGTGGAATAAGTATCATGCATGTAAGTAGTTTTTAGTTTCTAACTTTATTCAAAAAATACTGCCAGTTTAAAAAATAAGAACAAGAAAACCTAGTTTCATTGCTAGTGCTACCAGAGAAACAAATCTGATTTACATAGCCAAGCAACGTTTTTTCGATCGTCTAATTCTCAGTATAAAATCTTTCAATTTTTATGTTATAGTGCAATTTTAATAGAATCTTTCGTTATTATAGTCACTGATGTGGAAGAAAGTAGGAGATGCGCAACACAGAAGCAAACTTTCCAATGAATTAATGATGTATCACATGCAGGTACGTTTTATGATTTAAGAGCTTTAACTATGCCGGTAAGGGAGAACAATGAAACTTTCCTATACCTACTAAACTAGTCTATAGCATAGCAATGTCGCTAGTTTTTAAGAGTGCCTTGGATGTCAGCTTGTTTGAAAATTAAGCTTAGAATTACGTCCTGGGTTTTCAAATGTAGGTTATTCTTGGTTAAGACAAAGTTCATTTTCGAAAGGAAAAAGTTATCCGAGAGTTATGGTTTAGTCCCGTGTCAGAAATCCGGACAAAACAAGAAGTCGTCATTAAAAGCAAAGTTTTATCTCAAAAAGATGTAAAGTCGCTTTAAAAGGCACGGAACAACTAATTGTTGTAATGTTATAGATATTGAAAGTGTAAAATGAAGTTATAGCATGCATTTAGTTTAATGCTTGATATAAAATTGAAAGTTTTATTATGTAACATAAATATTGCAGATGTTTCATTTAGAAAGTTCAAAGGTAACATGAGTCTAGTAAGATAAAATAGTCAGTAAGTAGAATATACGAAGAAGTAAATCCTGGAATGATATTCATAAACATATCTACATAAGACAGAAGATGTGAAACATTATCAAAACACACTGTATACAAATATACACCACATATAAAGCTATTATGAAGAGCAGAAATTTTCGTTAAGTTAAATTTAATCAAAAACACCGTAGGTGTGGAAAAAAAGGCGCAGCCAAAAAGGGATTCAGCATGCAACTTAAAGGAATTAAATCAAAATTGGCGGCCAAATTGGTAGCTACACTTCTACCACTGATAAGAATTGAAACATTGAAACAAAATACGCGCCTAGCTAATTAATAACGCACATTGTATCCTGCAAGGTTTGTTTGTTTGTTTTTTCGCAAGACACACTGCCGTTTGTCTTGATATTTGGGAAACTAAATACTTTGAACATGATGTACTTGGATTGTTATTCTTTTGTATAGTTGTAGCCAACAGTTACTTTGTTATCAATTGTTTATCGTACTCTAATGTAAATAAGAAGATTTCCAATAATTGTAACAAGTATAACCGAGTATATCAAGTGTTTAAGTTTCCAAATGTACTTGCCAAATTAGTTTGATTTCACAACTTTGGATCGTTGAATATTTTTGATTTTGACGAGTATCTTATAGTTAGATCCTGCTTTTACACTGAATGGAGCCTCCTGGTGTACCAATGGTAACTTTGAGTGCTTATAACGCTAAAAATTTGGTTTCGATAACCGCGGTGGCCACAGCATAAAACAACTCATTGTGTAGCTCTACACTGAGTGGTCACAAGTAAATACACCTAATTTTTCGTCATTTAACTGATTTATGCTAACGAACTTGTGTTCACAGAGCACTATATAAATGAAAATGGTCCGCACACTACTTATCTTGTGCTACGACATGCCTAGAACTCAAGGTTCTCTCGAATTGTCAGATTTTGTTAGAGGAAGGATAGTTGTTCAAGCAAATGGTGGAATAAGTCAGCGGCAAATTTAGCAGAATTTGGGAATCCCGCTTTCGACAGTCAACAGAATCATCGTGCAGTTCAGGAAACACGATAAGGAAACAACTGAGCAGTGTCCGGGTCGTCCTGGTCCATCGGAGAGGACAAAAAGGGCTGTCAAGAGGAACATCGAAATGGATCCCAGATTAACGACTGCAGAAGTGGCCAAA